CCTGGACCCAGAGACTGCTATGGGATTTGGGATTAAGGGAGGAATGCCATCTCCATAGAAGGAAATTGAGACTCTTAACAAGTTCCTGATGCTGGGCAAATGGATGCAAGGTGCTACATTTCTCAGCAGGATTATTGTAATTTTATCGGCTCATTGACTGGGGAAGGCAACATCATTTCTTGTCCTTTCTGCCTCCTTGGCTTTGTTGAAGGAGGCTCTTCTGTTCCTGGTTTCTGAATTTCATTGATAAGGACAAACTGAGATGTGATCGGCAGGGAAAAGGCACAAGGATCTCCGTCCTGCATCGATAACTGAGCAATGTTTAATCATTATTGTGATAATATAACACATTATACTGCAATGGAGGCATGGAGGTACCAAACATACCCAATGTAGTGCATATATCAAAAATCCATCAGGGTCAGTATTTCATCCCCAGCAGTGATCTGTGGCTGTCACCCAGGGAAGAATAAAAGCATGAGGCAAATGCACTTGCCCAGGATATTCTCTGAACCTCCAGCCATTTGTGTCTCAAAGATCCCTAAGGCTGGGGGCTGCTGCAGTGTTTCTTACCCTTGGATGATTTTTTTTTTCTTCTATTTCTATCATATTTCCCTGGCGTCATTGCAAAAGGGAGGGAACTAGTGAAATGGTATAGATGTTGCATGACTTCTTTTTCCATTGGCCTGACCTTCCCCCCCCCTTGCCGTATCCCTTTACCTGGTACGTTTATGAAGAAGGGATCGATGGCCCAAGGATTTGTGACGCTTCTGGCCACAGATCAGTCTCAAAACTGACCGCGATAGTCGTGCAGAAATGTTCTTAATTTGGGAAGATGAGAAGGAAGGTGCAATGTGCCTTTAAAAAGCTTACTGCCCAGGAAGACCTGGGTCCAGCACATCACCCAACAACCCAAGAAATTTGATAGATGAGTCTCCGACATTCTTGTCGTGTCTTCCCTTCTCCTTTTCACCACTTCCACAGCCTCGAAATGCTGAGAGGCGTGCTGTGAGGTCTGGCTTGTGTAAGGGAGTCTGTCAGAGCTGGGACATGCAGCCCCATGGCCTGCAGCTGGACTAAGTGAGGAGTCTCCATCAAGCATTTTTCTAAATGTCTTGCCTCTGCGGCATGCCCTCAGGTTTGGCACTCCTTTGTTTTTAAAGCCACAGTTATTAGTATCAAGAAAGCATGCAAAGAGCTGGGGGAATACTTTGTGTGCCCGAAAAAGAGAAGGAGGGAGGGAGAGAGGAGGGGGAAAGAGAGTTTCTATGCCTTATTGGGATCATGCTTAGAGAAACAGGGAGAGACACATTATTAGGGTCTGGTTTTAAATAAAGAATCAGGGTCTTCTTTTTCGGAAAGAGAACAAAGTCCTGTAGCTGTGAGGGGAAAACGGGCTGGTGCAGGCAGAACAAAGGAGACCCTACAAGGATCCAGCTTTCCCTTTGGTGCTGCGAGGCTTTAAACTACAAGCCAGAGGAGAGTAATGGGGAATGCACCGACGGGGGTTTGAACGCCGCTGTTGAATGCACATGATGTCTGTAGATTGTTTGATAGAGAAAATCCCCACAGTTGGCTTGGGGTTTCTAAGAGAGCAGTGAATATGAAATCCTTTTTCTCCAGTAGGTGCCACACAGGAATGACCTGGGGACACATTAGACAGTGATAAGTGACTCTCTCCATCCCCTTTTATCCTGTTTACAATACAGAGGCTTTCCTTGAACAAAACCCTTTTTTTTACTCTCCATGCTCCTGGCTGTTGTGTCTAAATGAGCCAATTTGCTGAAGGACTCCTCCTGGAAGGACTTGAAGTCTAACAAGAACAGACATTTGGTTGCAGCATGTTGTTTCTGGCAAAAATCAATTTCTTCACAGAAGAAGAGAAATTCGTTCATGTATTTCAGTGCTTGCCACTTCATCAAAACTCTTGTGATATTTCTTAAAGCCCTGGCCAGGGTGGAAATCCCAGCATCTATTTTCATTCAACCTCTCTATTTCCAGAAAGTGTTTGAAAACAGGGTATAATGACTCAGATAAGGGATAGCAAAGAACAAGGACTGAATGTATTTGTTACTACTGCAGTTAATGTTTTTTATTGATACGCTGTTTATTCTTAGACGGATGTGATTTCTGTGGCTTGAGTTACTATTAGACATCCAGGGGATAATCTTTTGCCAGAGACCTGGCTTGCTGCATGGCAGGGCAGGGCAGTCAAAGAAAGTTTCATGTATCATCCGAGATGCAAGGGATAGATCCACAGGAACAAGAATCTCTCATTAATTAAAGATGTGTAGTTATTTCAATCATTTAAATCTGTATGATGCTCAGTGACTTGTTCTCATGTGACTAGACTGTATTCTTCAGGTGCACACCCTCAACTGTAAATGAGCAACAGCAAAAAACCCCAACATTTTGGAGACTGTTCCAGCCTCAAGGTTTCATATTTTGCCGAGTGTCACATAAGAAGTTGTCTGCCTGAAGCTTCCCTACCTCTTAAATTAATTTCTGGTCTTTCCTCCAATGTTTGTCATCCTTCAGTACCTTAAATTTTTTCTGTATTTAGGCTTTGCCTAAGTGAAGAAAAGTGCAGAATGGGGCTGACGTTGCTGAAGACTGCTTATGATTTAAAACATTGTATTTAACTGTAATAGAGCATTTTATTTGGATGGACTCAGTTTACTACGTTATTCTTTGTGATACAGCAGGTTTCTCTCCATACCACAAACGGGACAGGTAGCATGAACCCAGAAAAGGGTTGTATCAGCCCAACATCAGGGAGAATTCAAAGCCTGAGGAACAAGTGTAAAAAGACGATGTTTAAGAGAGGGAAGAAACAGTGGAGAAGGAAAGAGCCGAGTACCCTGCTTGCCTGGTCCCACTAATATTTAAACGACTAATCTCGTGATATTAAGTTGAATCCTTCACAGAATACACGTCTTTCCCAATTTTTCCTAATCAAGCTCATTGTCTTGTTAGCATGAAGTCATGTTTCTTGACAAGAACTATTTTCCATTAAAGTACGCTGACCAGAATGAATTAGTTCTAATTTTAGCTTTTTAATCAATCGATTTTTGTATCGGTATTTCTAATGTCCTGGTGCCCTGACTAACTGGCCTATATCTACCCTTTGTTTGATAATCCACTTTCTCCCTGATTCTCCCATAAAGTTAAAAGGTTGCGGGAGTTCAGGTGGCTCAGCAGACTACGACCATAAGGCATGTCAGGTTTTGTAGTCCAGCACATACTAGTAGCTTCAACTGTGGTTGCTTATCTGGTCAAAACAATTAAGAAACTAAGTACAGATGAGCTAACTGAAAGCAGTCTTTCATACAACCCCAGAGCAAGGCCTAAACTGCCAGCCCTGTGAAAAACGACAGAGGAACCTGCTGTTACACGGTGAATGGATGATAACCTGGTGTAAGGAATTTAGTGTATCTGAATGCAAGAGGAAAAAATAAGATTATTAAGAAAACAAACCTATTTGCGCAATGGATGCCCTCAGCTGACCATGACCGCTCATGAACAAACTTTTGGGGTTAGAGTAAGTAGTTTTATGGAAATGAGAGACTGAATGGGACAGCTAGGCAAGGTCCAGAGAAGACGGTAATGATGCTCAAAGAGCTGGAACAGCTATTGTAGAAGGGATGGCTAGGTGCAGGATTCATTCATCATACTTCCTGCTCGGTATCTGCATCTCCATGTGCACTAGTCACCTAGACTTCTAGAGATGACCTGACTTCTAGAGACCCCACCAGGAGTACTGTGTTCAGCTCTGGGGCCCCCAGCATAAGAAAGACACGGCCCTGCTCAAGTGGGCCCAGAGGAGGGCCACAAAGATGATCAGGAGGCTGGAGCACCTCCCCTATGAGGACAGGCCGTGAGAGAGTTGGGGTTGTTCAGCCTGGAGAAGAGAAGGCTCTGGGGAGAGCTTATAGCGGCCTTCCAGTACTTCAAGGGGGCCTACAGGAAAGATGGGGAGGGGCTCTGTGTCAGGGACTGTAGTCATAGGACAAGGGATAACAGTTTTAAACTGACAGAGGGCAGGTTTAGATTGGACATTGGGGAGAAATTTTTTACCATGAGGGTGGTGGGACACTGGAACAGGTTGCCCAGAGAAGCTGTGGATGCCCCATCCCTGGTTGGACGGGGCTTTGAGCAACCTGGTCTGGTGGAAGGTGTCCCTGCCCATAGCAGGGGGTTGGACTGGATGATCTTTAAGGTCCCTTCCAAC